CCTGGGTAGACTTATTTTTAGTGGCTACGTATGTTATGTTAGTTTAAAGAACTTCAAATGCGTTGAATTTATGACTAGGTTTTTGTGTGATGTCTACATTATCATTATAGATGACCTCCTCCTTTGCCAGTTAGACAGGGCTGATGTATGTAACTGTACCCGGGAGGACTAGCTTCATTTAATGCTACAAACTCGTTTGGTTTAATCCACATTTCTGTTAAACACAGTACATCAAACTCCTGATGAGTAATGGTTTCATTAACAATAAGCGCTTTAGACGTAAGAGATCTAATATTCAACAGTCCTAGCTTCAAATCAATGGTGCTGGCTATGCATTCAGTTTAATTTTATGTTAATTAGGTTACTAAAACAAACTGTCCAAGTATGTCTATAATTTTGTTTAGCTCGGGGAACAGACACAGTCTCAATACGGTGGAACCTAAGTGATGACTAGCAGCTAGCAGACGGTCGGTTTAGCCTGCTTGTCTGCTCCCTGGCCTTCGCCCTGTATTGTCACTGATTAACTAGGTCTGTTCTGAGACTATGTGCTATGCTGCAAGAAATGAGAGCAGCACCTTCCCGAATGGGATGGACACCGCCCCGCCCTAACAGGCCAGCCTTGCCCTCAAAGATAGTCCAATTATCTATAAAGCCCACATTGTTTTCGGAGCGCCACCTGGACATCCAGCAGTTCAGCGATCATAACCTGCTGTAAGCTACATCGCCACGCTATGTTGGAATGGGGCCAGAGCATATTACAGCATCAGACATCGCCTTCGCTAATTTACATACCTTATTACTCTTAGTAACCTCAGCCTGACAAAGGCGTATATCATTAGCTCCTACATGAATAACTATCTTTGAGCCTTGCCTGTGCTTGCCTAAGACCCTAAGATTACCTGCTATGTCCAGCGCCCTCCCGGTATACACCTAACTAAAGCTGCTGGTGCCCCTAAAGGCCTAGCTAATTTCACATGCTGCAAGATAGAGTCACCTATAACCAGAGCTCTTTCAGGTTTCTCATTGGGTGCTTCACTGAGGAGAGCAAATCTGTTGGACACGTGAAGCAGAGAGGAGTGGTGCTCCTGTGGGCGAGCCTTATCGTTAGCTTTGGCTTTTTGCGATTATGCTGCCGAGTCGTCACCCATTCGCCCCACTGTAAGGGCTCTAATGCCGGAGCTGGGGGAATGCTAACTCTGCCTAAGACATCCAGACTTTCCCCTACAGAAACTACACTGCTCTCACTCTCAATGACCCTCTCTAGAGTCTGGATGTGCACCTCTAATGCTGCAATCTTCTCCGTCAGAGAGCTAACTAACATGCATTTATCACAAATAAAGCTATTACTAACGACGGAGGAAGAGTGACTAAACATCCTGCACTCAACACACTGAACAAGTTGAATGTTAGACATGCTGTTTAACGCACCTTGTCGAAGGTTGATATTATTGTAGACGGCATGGATCCGGTGTGGACGGCCTCGCTCACTGTCTTGACAAAATACAAAAGCGCTGATAGAAAAAAAATTAAAATACGGTAGAAGAGAATGTGCAAAATACAACAGATGAAAGCGATAGCGCATAATTATTGATTTAAAAAAAAGAAAGAAACAGTATAGTTTAGATGCTGACGCAGGCAAGAAACTCCCGGCAAAACAATTCGAAAACAGCTAATAATAAAATAAATAATAAGAGCAGAGACCAAGTTAAGTCCTGCCCTATGTGGCTGACCAGGGAGTTGGCCATGTTTTGGCTTTGTCTATGTTAGACAGATCTGGCTCAACACTGGCATTGGAGACACGGTGACCAAAGAAAGTAACGGAGGAAAATGCAAGGTGGCATTTGGAAGGTTTAATCTTTTGTCTAGCAGTGAGGAACTGTTGAAAGACTTCACACAAGTTTTGCATGTGCTGAGAAAAATCAGCACTGTAGAAGATGATATCGTCTAAGTAAATCAAGCAAATGCTCCAGTGCAAACCAGGAAGTACAAGTTCAATCAACCTTTGGAAACTGGGCGGGGCATTTGAGATCCCCATTGGCATCATACAGAATTGGAATAGTCCTGTACCAGTGGAGAAAGTTGTCTTCTCCTTGTCATGAGGATTAAGCGGGATTTGCCAGTAACCGCCCGTAAGATCAGGTTAGTAGATCATGGTGCTGAACACACTGGCCCCAGAGTCTGTCAAGGGTGTCATCTACCTGAGGTAGTGGGTGTGAATCTTTGATTGTGACCTCACTGAAGCATCGGTAATTGACACAGAAAAGATGTGTGCCATCTTTTTAAAAAAAAGTACCAGTTCTTTGTCAGTCAAGCATGTGTCATCTATAGGCACTTCTGGCATTGGGCATGCAATCTCTTCAGTGACAGCTGAATCTAATGCATACTCAACATGAGTTGCCAGTAACAGAGAAAAGCTGACCTAATGGACTTCCAGCGTCCAAAGGAACAGGTTCGTTAGTGGGGTTAACTACTCTGACAACACCCCTTCCCTTCTGAAGGGAAGTCAGTGTTCTAGTGATACCTAAGGTCTCAATGGGTGAAGGGTGTGGCTCCAGTATGCCCACATGGGTGTCTGTGAAGGGGTTTGCCAGACAAGTCTTTTGTTCTGGCCTCATCAGTAACTGGACAGTTGCTAGACATATTAGGCTCAGTGATGGGATACCATTATTCCTAACCAAAATCGGGATTGCCATCTTGGACAGGGGTGGCTTTGTGTACCATGTGGAAAACATGAGAAAGACTGATGTCACCAATATGTATAGGGGCCATCACTAAGCCTAATATGTCTAGCAACTGTTCAGTTACTGATGAGGCCAGCAAAAAAGACTTGCTAATTCACTGAGTGGATAGAGCTGGAATAGATCTGCGACATTCATCAGTGATAAGGGAAAGATCTGAACCTGCATCAACCAAAGCATGGAGTTCAAGACCAGCTAGAGTAATTATATGAATGGTATGGGTGGTGTGGATTCGCAATCCACAGCATCTGAATGGGCCCTCTGAGGAAATGAGGCATTTGGCCCAAACTGTCAGCTTCTAATCATTTCCCTGGTGTGATGCAGAGGGGACTGCTACCTTGCTAGATGGGGAGAATATACATGTTATGTTGGAGACATATAATATCTGTGTGAATGTTTGGCATGGAGTAGTGGTGATAGAGAACTATGTCTGTGGTGATTGGAACTTCTATATTGTGGGATAGGTGTGAGTGGCAAGTGAGTAGTTTAGGGACTACTGTGAAACTCAGAAGTGAGCGGCCAGGAGCTGGACTGCCCTGGCAATATCTTTGTAGCTACAATACCTAGCCATGCTATGTAATGGTTGTGGATTCACAGTTACTGGCATGATGGCGGAAGGGGCTGCTACACTAATGGCCAACTGCACGTTCACATTGAGTAGCCACTTTTAATACACGGTCCAAGGTCACAGCACCTCACTCATGGATTTTCAATTGGAGGGATGGGTCTAAACCAGTCAAAAGTTTGTGAAAAATTTCACAGCTACATGCCAATGCATTAGTGAGCTCAGCAGCATAGACTTCAAGAGGTTCTTGTGGTTTACAAGGACAGGTATTCAAATATACCTGAAATGTGGCCAAAAATGTTGTATGTCCAAAAACGGTACTCAAACTGGCTTTAGTCATATTATAGTTACCTTTCACCACAGGGGAGAGAGACTGCCAATATGCAAATCCCGGACCAGTAAGCTTTACAGGAAGAAGTTTAGCCTTATCCATTGGTGCAGCTGAGACATTAAGTGGTACTTCAATATCTGTATCCATGCACTGAATGACTGGGCCAGTGGTTGGTTAAATGGTTGAGCTGGTGGACGTTCAATAGCGAAATCTCACGGCAAAATGTATGAACATTCCTGAGCTTACGTGCGCCATTAAGAGTTGTAAACCATATGGACAAGGCACATCTCAATAGCACAAATAAATAGCTTGATGTTTATTAAAAGAAAGGAAGAATTTAAAAAGTTCACCACATGCTTATGTTTCTTTTAGGTATGTTTCACATCTTTCATTGACGACATTCTTCAAACAGTTCATGGAGTTTTTTGCAGTTGCATTCATTCCCAAAATAATATCGAGAATGGCCACAAATACAAGGATTGCAGCGACTCCAATCAGGAAACACTTGCCCCCTTCGGTGACAATCTTTTATTTGGTCTGATGTATGCTGTGAGTTACATCAAAACACTTATACATGTATATTTTTATACATTTGAATTTTTCCAGAAAATTCTGATTGAGTTAGACAGTGAAAAGCTTTCACCAAAGATTCTATCCTTGAAGAACAAGTTGTTCAGTTAAAGTTAGGAAAGATTCTCATTGAAAAATGCTTTTGGTAGCTCGTTATTGTTATTTGTTGTTAATTGCTTTGATGCATATTTCCTGACATTGATATTGCAAAAGCATACTAAATGCCTTAGCACAGACCACTACAAAGCCCACAAAACACATATATGCTAGCATATATGCTTACAGCACCACACAGATTTAATAAAAAACATACGAAACAATCTACCCACAGGCATCAAACATAGTGATGCACATACATACAAATGTATTAGCCCCAATCTCACACACATTTCAGCCAAGTGTTGTTATCTTACACACATTTGCCTGTTCAGAAGTTGGCTGGGCTGCTGTGATGTTTATAGCACACAACGTTGCACAGTCTACAAACACCTAACACGTATAAAGACAACATGCACACAAACACACATGTTCCAACATACAAACACATACCATAATACACACAGAACCCATATAACAAACTCAATGCACTTTATCCATGGATACCAAACTGTTAATGAAGTGAAGTGACAAAGCAGTGGGCAGAGCATAAATTCCAAATATGGGTCACCATGTGGGCAGCCTTTTTTTTTTTTTGCTGCAGCACCCAGGGAGCAGTTGGGAGTTCAGTACCTTGCTCAAGGGTCTCACCTCACCTATTGAGGGTGGAAGAGAGCACTGGTCATTCACTCTACCCACCTACAATCCCTGCCAGACTTGAACCCACAACCTTTGGTTGCGAGGCCAACTCTCTAACCATTAGGCCACAACTGCCTCCAATACCTACACACATACCAAGACTATTAATACCATACTGTTAACACATATAAACAAATGGTACAGACACACATTATAAAGCTGAGGGTTAATGTTAGTTGCTACACAGTAATTTGAACAGAACCTTTTTTCATCACCAATAACACTGTCTGTGTGTAGATCTTATGATGGAAGGATAACAATAAAAACCTTTGATATTCACCAGTTGTCTTAATCTTTCAAGTCATTTTAATTTAAAGTTAAGTAGAAATAAAGGAATATTACCTAGATTTTGAAGTTGATCGCACTTAAAATAATTTATCTAAATGAGCTTAAAATGTATAGTGGGGTAAACTTAGGTTTATTTAGGTTTAAAAAACTTTGTTGACATAACTCAATATTATAAGTAAAAACTTTGGTGGGGAAACTCATAAATTTGGGCATTGCCAACTAAGGTTTTTTTGTTTGTTTGTTTTTTTTAAACATAATATTCTTAAACTTCCATGTGGAGTATGCTTAAAAATTGGCTTGCAAAAAAATGATGCATTATATTTTTAAGTAAATTCAGCGCATTATTATTATTATTATTATTATTTTTTTTTTTTTTAACAGTGCAACAGTTAATAGCTTGGTCATATATCTTTTTGCATTTTTGTGATTATTTTGAAAATATTTCAATCTGTCTATTTGTCTTTGACAAATATGTCAACATGTTCAGAATGGATGAGTGTGTTGATCCAAGTGGTACAATGTTGTACACCTTCTCTAGATTATAATACAAATCTGAATGAGTTTAATGACACTGGTCTACAAATTTTGGGAAATTATCGACCTCCAAGATGGCAAAATGTGCTAATTCTTACATATTTGGATTAGATGAATTAGAAAACATATGATAAAGGTGCTGGTTGGCTAAAGTTTACAAGATATTTCAGGATAAAGATTTATAATTATCTATACACAGGTGAGTATATTTGCCTACAAGGGAGGGGGGTGTCTGATGATCACGATGCCTCGTAACAAAGTACGGTAGAACAATGAAAATGGTACTATATGAAAGTTTACAAATTTATCTTCACTTTGAGACTAAAGATTATTACCTAACTGTATTTTTTTTGGTCTTTTATTGCAGAGTACATTTGTCTTGGCCAGATCTACGCATTATACAGTTACATTCCATCCGCACTGCATCCTGTACCCCATGGTGAGGACTTGCCAATTCCAGATCCACCAGAATCCTACTCTCTAGACTCAGATGATGATCAAGACGATGAGCAGGATGCAGCTGATCCGGGGCCGTTGATGTCAGCGGACCCAGACTTTAGCCCACTGTATGCTCCTCCTGAACCACATCTACTTTCACAGAGTGAACTGAATGACCTGGTCAGGGATTTGGAATTGCCTAAGAGTGTGGCAGTGCCACTGGGCTCCAGATTACAACAGTGGAACCTCTTGCAGAGTGATATCAGGATCTCCATTTTCCTTGTTCGCCAAAAAGATGGTTCAGTATTTCTTAGTGGAAGGTGATTTGGTTTATTGCAATGATATCAATGGCTTAATGACAGCAATTAACATTACCCACAATCCAGATGAATGGAGCTTGTTCATAGATTCATCTAAAATGAGATCCTCATTATGTCAAGAAAGACTGGCCATCACGACAGTCCTGGGAGCCAGTAAAGAAAAATGTTCAAAATCCAGCTCTTGTTGACTCTCAGAAAATTTTGTTACCACTGTTACATATAAAACTGGGGCTGATGAAGAACTCTGTAAAGGCTATGGACAAAACAAAACCAGGTTTCCAATATCTCTATGAAAAGTTTCCAAGACTTAGCGAAGCAAAAATCAAGGAAAGCTTCTTTGTCGGTCCACAGATTCGAGAACTTCTCCGAGATGACAAGTTTGATCGTCTGTTGTGCGGCAAGGAAAAGGAGGCACGGGAAGCCTTCAAGTCTAGGGTATGCATCAAATTTAGACACAGTTTTGACATTTCTAAAGTCCACATAAAAACTGACTGACCGGTCTTGGGCACCAAAAACCACTGTGCTGCTCCAATCGCTGTGGGGCTATGTTGAGCATAGCCTTGAGTTCATCCCGAACCACATTTTTTGCGTTCAGGTAAACAGTATGGGCGGCTGCATACAACCACACCTAGAGGAGTCTCAATGTGGTGCTCTATGAGGTCCATGTGACCGGGTAAATGTGAAAACACAATGGAAAATTCCTCTTGCAACCTGGCAACCTGTGCTCTCTGGGATGGTGAGAGGTAGTCTCCACAGGGGACCGTGGTGAATTGGGCTGCACATTTTAGACTTACCCAAGTTCTCTCTCTCTGGAACCACTGTTGCCAGAGCCACAGGAATCACCTCCCTCCACAGTTTCTGGAGATTGAGGTGGTATATTTGACGTGCATCGCCTCTTATCCATTCTCCGACTCGCCATATGACCTCGCCACTTTGTGAGTAATTTAGAGCTAGACATGGGTAATAAAATGAGTACTTTATCTTCTGGCACAAATTCCCGTGGCCGAGTACCCCTGTCATACAGTCAGGACTGTCATTCTTGGGCCTGACACAGATTCTCCTGTATTAGGTGACTAAAGGTGTGGAGTTTCGCTCTCAAGTCAAGAACACACTGAGTTTAATTTTTGGTGTTAGAAGGTCCCTTCTCCTAATTTTCGCTAATGATGTCTAAGACGCCTTGTGCCCATACAATAATTTGAATAGGGGAAAACCCTGTGGAGGCTTGTGGGACCTCTTGTATTGCAAACAAAAAGTTCCAGCCACTTATCCCAATTCCATGCATCATCGCGAATGAATTTATGAATCATATTTTTAACCCTTTGGGGACGACGGTGGCGCCGGCGCCACCACTTGCAGTTTTTAATGATAACAGCGAAAAGAACTTAAAATGCTCCATCTTTTTTGATCGTACACATATGAGTAATACATTGTTTGAATCTGTAAAGGGTCTATTTTTATTTGTGTACACTCACAATATCAACAAATCATTGTGCTTTTGTAAAATACAGAAAATATACAAGGTGTGCTTTCAGCCATCTCAGTCTCCGCGCGTATCTGTTTGAAACACGTCACTAAAATGAACTGAAACTCAGCGAATACTTGACACACAGAGATGAGAAATACATCTATGGAAAGCAAATCGAAAACAAATATTCTCAGTTTATGTAATCCATATGAAACCAAGGAGAGGTACAGTCTTTCCGTCTCACTTCATTATCTGAAAATGACCTGAGGCGGGACACACCCACATGCTATTCACAGGGAAAATAGTTCGGTGATTCATGTACGAGGCACACGCCCCCCCGGACAATGCCTTAAAAAAACATCAAGTTTCCACATAGTTTCTTTCTTTGACTTTCCTACGTGTTTGGAAGATGGCAAGATGATTTTGGACAGTGAGGAAGAATTTACCTTTTCCTCAGAAGATGATTGCGACTCCGACGACGAACAGTTGCATTTTGAAGAGCGAATTGATCCAGCTGAGGATTTTCCTGCAAGTTGTTACGATGAGTAAGTCCTATATAATTCCAATTCTGATGATATAAAAGAGAAATTATTTTTCAGAATTTGTTTTGCCTAGTTTTGGCTAGCTTTTGGCAGTTCACATACCTGACTGAACGGCTCATTATGCAGCTCATTAGGTGGGTCTTTGTCTTCTCAGGTATAAATCACAGCATTATGCATGATCATTCACACCTCCTCGCATATGAACTTTCTACACAAAAAGTGTCTTAGAAAATTTAAATCAATATATTGTTTTCTCTGGATGGGTGAGTAGGATGATTTTCACATCATTTTGAAGCAAAAACTCTAGGCTACAAGATCCAGTTCTCAAAAGTCTTGTGGACAAATGTTTTGAATGAGTTTTATGGCCTTATTACTTTTTTTGCTGTTTTTTCAATAACCATGCATAACTGTTATTTTCTCCAAAATACAAACTTGTACATATATGCTGCTCACATATTATTGTAGCCCACTTTGTGCTGATTACAGTGTAATCAGACTTTAGCCATTTATATTTTTATAAACAAATGAAAAATGCACAAATGTCGGGCCATGTCAAAACTTCTCCAGGGCCCCAGAACACCCTCAGATCCCAGAGGGTTAATCCCCAATAATTCATACAGTTCGCGAAGAGTGCTTGACATAAAGGATGTGCCCAATCAGTCAGGATCTCTTTCAGTATCCTGACTTGGGAGATAACACGGAAGAGTGCCTCTGCAATCCCTCACTAATGTCTGAAACCCTGTTTTCTTCCAAGAATTGGTGGATGGGTGAGGTGAGGACTAGCCACCATGTCCATTTTATGCTTTTGCCCCTGGAATTTAATAACCAGATACTCATGAACGTCCCTGTGCACACATCTACACTCTGAGTCCACCCTGATGTGTACTCTTTTGTATGCTCACTGACATGTGGAATGTTCCTGCTTGATCAGGGGAAGCCTGCGGCATGTTGAGAATTCAGATCAGTGTTCCTGCTTCCCTGATGGAACATTGATTGTGAAAATGCCAAGCTTTCCCACTGTGCCTGCAAACATGCCCAGGCTTTGCCCCAATCCTGGTGGGTGCAGAAGGTTCCACCTGTGTAGAGAGAGAGAGGGAGTTGAGGGAGACATCAGAGGTGAAGGAGAAGGGGGAGGAAAAACGGGGAGGAAACCAGGTTTGGGGGCCAGTTTTGGGCCCCCCTGCATCTCAGTTCCAGGAAGGTTGGACCAGGGATGGAGTAGGATAGGGAGAGAGGAAAAATGGAAATGCCTGGACCAGTGGTTGCCACCAAGTGATCCTCAATCAGCTGCATGGCTTCGTCCAGTGAAGCGGGCCAGTGGCACTGGACCCACTCTGCCGTTCCTTTCAGGAGTTGAGCGATGAATTGCTCCAGTACCACCAGCTCGATGATCTTTTCTGTGTCCCACTCCTCTGCCATCAACCACTGGTGACAGGAGTCCTTCAGCTGCTGCACGTAGGTGAAGGGGCTGCCAAACTCAGGTAGCTG